AAATATTCTGCTATATTGAAAGACTGATTTTACATAGCAGTTCAAAACTCTTTTTTTTTTAATTTCAAACAATATTTTCTTATTTTACTAAAACTAGTTACCAAGGACAAACCAAAAGTAATATTTGTAAAAAAAAAAAAAATAATATGTAACGTATCCTGTAAGGTAGAGATGAATTTGAAGCTTCGATATATTTCCAGTGTGTCTGACATTTTAAATATACACTGTATTCCCAGTGCTTCTTATATTACATAGAAACAAATCTATGAAAAAAAAAAAATAATGTATTAATAAAATTAAATAACATTGATTTGAAAATTAGCAAATAAATAAAAAGAAATCACAAAACAATGATCTGGGAATAAAAAGACTGACTTTATCCATGTGTACATTTAAATTATGTATTCATATGATTATCCATTCATGTTGTGAACGTCTGAAAAGTCTTTTTGAAAAATCAATCAAATATTCCTGTCTTTGATTTAGGAAAATAACTTACCACATCATCGACAATGGCGATCACAAAACTGTCAATAGATTTGTAGACTAGTCTTATATGTGAGTGTGAACAGCCTAAATTTAATTCCAGATTGAATGAGGAAAAGTTCCCAAGGGACACAAGAAACTCTTCGGACGAGAGAGAGAGAAAAATTTCTCATTGAAATAAACAAAAGACAAAATGTAAATACATCAAACAAACATTTCAGTCATTGAAAATAATGAAAATGAACAAGAAAAATAAAATAAAAAAAAATGTATTTGAAAAAAATTTCAAAGAATAACGCCGAAATATAAACCTGCAAAATATGAAACAAAAAATAAGTAGGTATTGAAACAAGAATGAAATGATATTGTCATGATAGTTTGTGCTTTGGTCTCTCCGCAAGGCATTCATTTTCATCGAAAGCAAATATAGATTGAATTCATCATTTCATTTGTCTGTTTCTCCTTATTGGCACAATGAAATAATAAATTAGGTCGTTTATTTTAGACTTTCAAAGTGAAAGTGAAAGTAGAGAGCAGGAGAATGAAACTAAAGGAAAATAGGAAATAAGATGACAGGAACTATGTATACAAAGAAGGGCATCAGAACCATTGGAGACTGACATGGAGAATTTTCATAGTGTCCATAATAACCTGTGTCAAAGACACTAAGAATTTTATCTTATTATTTAATGAAAAAGAAAACAAAAACAAATAACTTCACAAATTAAAATACTTTCAGACTTTCTGAGTGCATGTGCATATATATATATATATATATATATTTATATATATACACACGCACATATGAATTGAGATAAAATATGGCTCAGAATCTGACAGAATGATAGGATAAAGAACAAATAGGATCATAAATCTAACATGTTTCACTTTTATTAAAGCTTCATCAAAGAATGAGAGATAGTACTTTTGTACGTGTGTTGTTTGATTCTCAATAGCTAAGCAGATTTAACCTGCATTTGACTTGTCAGGCAGTGTTCGTGTGTATAATTTATGTGTGTAAGTGTATCATAATTCTAGTTTGTCTATGCAGAATTCAGATGATTATATATATATATATATATATATATATATATATATATGTGTGTGTGTCTGTCTGTCTGTATGTGTGTCTAGTAGGCATCATTTATATTTGGAGGTTGTCTGCATGTAGATTTGGGGACATTTTTACATCAATATCAGTCATTAAGTATAAGTCAACTTCATATCTCATTCTCTGATGAAAAGCGAAGTATGTTAGATTTTTAAATGTTTCCTATTTTCCTATTTATTCTTTATCCTATCTATCTATCTATATATATATATATGTGTGTGTGTGTGTGTGTGGATAAATAATTATAAAATAGTGTACAGTGAGTGCCTGGGGTAATAAAACAGTGCTCGGTGTATACTCATGGAGCTAAAATTTACACTAATAATAAATATACATATTGATCCTCACTCTGAGCACAATTTTTCATGCATAATGCAATTGTCAGGTGCAGATTGAAAACTGACTGTTGTAAAATTTAAATATTGATATTTACAACCTATTGTTAAGATAGTGAAGCAGTACATTCATATAAATTGGAGTGTATATGTGTTTGTGTGTGCATGTATGTGTATATATATATATATATATAAAAGTGCACATTGAAGTCAACACTCAGAAGCAACAAGCTGTTTCATGCTAGACAATCGTCAGGCCACCTGATATTGAGTACTATCATATAAATATAGCACTCCTTAAAACTATATATATATATATATATATATATATATATAATTAGAAGAAGGGTCCATGTGTGCTTCTCATTGTATGTAAAATAGGTTGGTTAATAAAACAAGGGCAAACAAAAGGATACCAATATAATCAGTACGAATATCATTTATAAACTTTAATTATTAGCCATATGATAGAAATGAAGCACAGAAAGAAAGGTTTTAAATCCGGAATTTTCTGAATGAAGCAAGAAATAAACAGAGAAATCGGAATTACTCACCAACAGATGTTTTTGTGGACAGTGTATTTTTTGGTAGAGATCATATTTTTAGCAAAAACCCAAACTCTGTCTGATTCCTTACTGTGCGAAACTTTTTATGAAAATAAACTTAAATTTCAAATTTGGATCAGCGTAAAAGTATTAGGCCAGTCTATTAGTAGGGGAAGTAAGATTGTAAACATAGATGAAGAGAGTTATAGGTTGGATAAAAATTTGGAAATACACTATCCACAAAAACATCTGTTGGTGAGTAATTCCTTGTTTATTCCTTGCTTTGTTGATGAAGGACACAAACGTGTCCAAAAATTCCAGACTTAAAACCTTTCTTTCCATGTTTCATTTCTGTTATATGGTTAATAATTAGTATTTAATAAATGTTTTTTGTACTGATTATATTGGTACCTTTTTGTTTGTCCTTGTTTTATTAACTAACCTATCTATTTAGAAGTAATGTAACAACATCACAGGCATTTAAACCATTCTAGCAAAGATTCAACTTAGGTGGGTTGGTCATGCTGTGAGAATGGATGAGCAGAGGCTTCCAAAGAAGGTGCTGTATGGACAACTACCAAACTCCAAGAGTTCAGTTGGACGTCCACTCTTATGCTACAAAGACAAATTGAAAGACAATTTGAAAGATCTCAACTTTGATCAGAAAACCTGAAAGGAGTGCCATAAGGCATGTTTCATTAAGTTAGAGGGTTTTGAAGACAGTAGACTGAAGCACTGTGATCAGCTTTGTAAAGCTCTGAAACAGAGATACCATCAAAATCCTGCTTTAACAAATTTCATCTTTCAGTGTGGCATTGTCACCCACAGCAAGGCTGAGCTAATTTTACACTTAAGAAAGCACAAATGAAATATGTCTTTCCCTTATCTGATTTTCTCCACAAATGCCCCTGCTAGCTTGCATAAGTGTAAAATTAAAGGTGCCATCCAATGCTGAACCTCATTTATCGTTCACGATAGGAGAGCGTCTTGGGTATGATGATAAACTGCATCCGCATCCTGGGTATGACAATAAACTACATCCACGTCCAGGGTAAGACAATAAACTACGTTCAACAGCAAGGCCTCTGATCAGGAGGTTTTGAGGAGTGTGGAACCATCTCTTAATTGCTGGTGTTCCCAGGTCCACCCTGACCCACAGTGGTAGCACCTGTTGTATGGGCAAATAGTTAACACCCAAACTTGTGTAAAAACAGGTTTTAATATCAGAAATACTTTGTAAATAATAAAAAAATTATTACCAGCAATAACTGTTGAAAGAAAAATTATGAGCAGCACTACTTTTAAAAAAATACCAGCAATACAAACAGTTATGCATTCTTTGAAAAAAAATATGACCAGCTATAGATTTCATCAATGAAAAATATTCCCAGAATTAGATTTTTGAAGAAAAACATATTACCAGCAATAAAAATTTTGTCAGCATTAAATAACCCATTGAGGTTGATATGCCATAAAACAAACCAAATCACGATAGGAGAGTCCACCATATATATAAAGTCATTTTCAAATGTGCGTTTGCAGGATATATAATATTATCTAAAACAAAAGTGATGATGAGACAAATTGGGTAAATGCAAGCGTCGGCTATAATTATGGACTGAGGGGAAGCACTGAGTTTTAAATTTTTTTTTTTAGTTTTAAATTTTTGAGTTTTAAATTTTTTATCTGATATCTCTGGACATATAATTTAGCCATTCTCATTTAGTTTCCCTACCCCACTTTTTTAAAAATTGTTTTTGTTTTTAAGTATCCCTCATTGTGATAACATATATAATGTGTATTTAGGCAGGAAGAATTCATTCAATGTTTTGTTAAATTTAACTGACAAGGTCTGTCTATTTCATTTTAATTACATTTTACAATCTTCTGAATCAGATGTATCTCATTCAGAAATTGGAAAAAATAATAAAAAATGAAATAGACCTGGTCAGTTGAATTTCTCAAAACCTATTTGAATATTCATGTTTAAAATCTGCTACATTTCTAAGGGAAGAGTGCTCAGTATCAGAGATTATGTATTTATTGATATTGACAGTATAGACATAGGAATTAACACAGCATGGTGACTTTCAGTTTACATTCAAATATTAAATGGTTGTGGTGTTTCTTGTAAATTTTGAAGTAAATTCTAATCGGCATTTCTTGCATTTCTTCTCTTAGGTACATAATAAAAAGGTGGTGTCTTAATAAGAAGAGAGTAGAATTTTCCCCAATATGCAATAAACGGGAAGGGGGGGGTAATAAAATGGGGGTAATAAAATGGGGGGTCAGAAAATCATTGAAAGGGTGAAAAATGTGAAATTAATAAACAGGGTGATATCTGTCTATATTTCTGAGATAAGGTATTATGTACACTATTTACATTATTTGGTCTATTGTCCTCATCTTTGTCGCCATATTTATTACAACATTTCGGCCATTGTACGCTCTGGCCTTCTTCAGGTGGTTGGAATGTCAAACTTTCAGTGGTGGTCTTGAGAAGCTTGAAATGGAGATCAGAAAATGTCTGTTCCCCTCTGTCTGTCCATGTGTATCTGTCTGTTTGTTTCTCTCCATCTGTCCGTGTCTATCTGTTCCTCTCCATCTGTCCGTGTCTGTCTATTCCTCTCCATCTGTCCATCTCTGTGTGTCTGTCTGTTCCTCTCTGGTTTCTGTGTCTGTTTGTCTGTTCTTCTCCATATGTCAATGTCTGTCTGTCTGTTCCTCTTGGTCTGTCCAGTCCTCACAGTCTATAGTATGTCTATCGTCCTATCTGTCCCTCTCTGTTTATGTCTGTCTGCCTGTTCTTCTCAGTCTGTCCGAGTCTGTCTATCACTCTCCATCTCTTTTCTGTATCTTTCTGTTCCTCTGCCTTTCTCAAACTGTCTGTGTCTTACTCTGTTAATAACTGTTTCAGTTTATCCCTATCTATCTATCTACCTCTTTATATACCTACATGCATATCTACCTATTGCTCTTGCTCTGAAGATCCAGTACTCTCTCAGTCTGTCCCCATGTCTCCCTCAGCTTGTCCAAGCATGACTACATGTCTATCTTTCTTTATGTAAATCTATTTAGTTTTTAATAAATCACTTTGTAATATAAACTTATACACATATTTTCTTGTTTTAAACATCACCATCTTATCTCTTTCCTCCTTACTCTCTGGCTGATTATCAAATGATTTTGAGAGCTTTTCTTTGAATAAGTGTCTAATTTATTGATTTAAACATACCTGCTGAGCTCTCTTAGGACCAATAGAAATATGAAGAAGTTGTCAATATTTCTTTTTTCTTTTATTCCGTTTTTTAAGCTTTTATATTCAAAATTTAAAAAAAAAAGCTGATAGAACTTCCTCCCCATTCTTTCAAACATATGGATATATGGACATCAATAGAAATCTTTCTCTGTCATTGCAATGAAATTTACAGTTTATTTTATTAGATGACTAGCTTAAAAGCTGCCCTACCAGGCAACATTTAAACTAGCTCCTGTGGAGGGCTTTTGATTGGGCCTTCATCACAATAGGCAGAGAGGAGTAGATGCGATAAGCATCAATAAACTACAGAAGAACTCAAAATTGATCACTGTCATTAAGTATTGCATTAATATTTAAGCTTACCTTTTTAAAGTTCAACAATAATTCTTCTGCCGCCACTTAATTTAAAGACAATTTGATGTACGTAGGTCCTTACTTTTCATATAAACAATTATTTTTATTTCATGGGTGACTTTTGCTGGATTCCGCAATTAATTTTGATTATTCCCAAATTTATTTCCAAGTTATAAAAATTGTTATTGTACAAAAACAATTGCAGTAATGAAAACTTGGGAAATTCAAATTTCAGGATTGTGGGCCCAAATCCTGCCTGGAATGTTTTTAATTTGCTCATGGAATCGGCCTGATTCCAAAATGGTATATGTTGGGCTACAATTGAAATAGTGTGACACACTGACATTCATATTTATTATATAGATGTAGTAATATTTTAGAGAGATCAAACAATTACTTAGCAACCATAGAAAAGTGGTCCCTCGCTTTATACAGAGTAGAATTTTTTTATTAATATGAGTTTACTGAAGCCATAAAAAATGACAGCACATTTTGTTAAGTCCTTATCATTAATATAAGGTCTTTATATGCAAGTATTAATATATATTTGTTTCTAATTATTATATTATGTAGTAATTTTGGAGGTGTGTGTGTGTGTGTGTGTGTGTGTGTGTGTTTAATATAAAATAATGAATGAATATTTTCTTCATATAGTTTTAGGCCTGTCTACTTTAATATAATTTTTTTTAATAACATTAATCCCTGTTTATTTTAAATACAAAATAAAATATTTATCTTTGTTTATTTTATATATATATATATATATATATATATATATATATAAAATAAAAAACATGTCTATTTTAAATGCAATATATATTTTTAAAATAAAACTGTAATCCCTGTATTGCGTTAACCAGGTGTTTATATTAAAATTTAAATTATGTAATGGTCACTTTCTACCCAGTGCCAGAAGATTGTGTTGTGCATGAAACTCTGAGTCAGTCTACTGGTGAGGGATAATATGTATATTTATTAATATATACTTAATAGTTCCATAATATTGCACCAAGCACTATTTTATTGTCCATGCTTAGATTATTGCTACTACATATGGTTTAGTGCTCCTGCTATTTACCTTGAGCTCCTTGATAAAGCCCAAAAAAGAATCTGCAATATTATCAGTCTTGATCTGGCAGCTCAGCTTCAGTCACTTTCCCACCACCATAAGGTTGCCTCTCAATATTTTATGTATAAATACTTTCAAATAAGCTCTTCATTATGGTACCTTGAGTTTTTGAATTTAAGCGTAGAACTAGACTGTCATCGAAATCTCATCAATTTACAGCTGAGTTGGCTAGATGTAGCCATAAATTCTATGCTAACAGTTTCTTCTCTCGATCTTCTTGCTTGTAGAACTCTCTACTGGCTCCATGCTTTCCAGCCAACTTTAATCTGCAAAAATTTAAATGCAATATCAATTGCTATCTACTGTCCTCCTGATTACTCACTTCTCTTTCTACTCATCATTAATGTTTCTGTTCCTAGTTCTTCAACACCCTGTAACCCCTTGTATTTTAGTGGCATTACTGCCTTGATTGGGGTGATACTCTTATAGTAATTTACCCATGCATGAATGGATTCTCCCAGCTATAAATAGGAGCAGGTACTGCCTTTTGGTGAGAGAGGTTTCCAGCAGTCAGCTCTGACAGTCAGACTGAACATTCTTGCTGTAACACTCTCATTTGTATATGTTTGTATTACTGCTTCTGTTAATATATTTGTTTAACTCAATTCCACTATTTGTATCTTTATTTCTGGCCCTCACAAGGCCACAACAGATACCAATTATATATATATATATATATATATATATATATATATATATATATATATATATATATATATATAATATTATTAATTCAATAATACCAAGTCTGCTACTCAGAGTTTCATGTGATAAGAATTATCAGGCAGAAATAACCTTCA